TATATATTTAATCGTCCATTCAATCAATCGCAGTTTTTAATTTTTGTTACCTGCTGTTTAAACAAAACGCTTTAAACAAATCGCCCATTAAAATACGATTCACTAGAAATTCCGTAGCTCCACATGATTGTCTGCTTATTTCAGACACGTGTCTCGAGAAGACCCTAGTTCTGTGGGACCCAGCTTTTAATCTTACGCCGACCCCTACGCAATCGTCCTTCGAAATAAAGGATAAGTTTTTTCTTCCTTTTTTTTACAAAGAAGAATAAATGATCGTCAAATATTATTATATTTCCCACATTCATGTAGTATTGTTTTTTTTATAAACATTCATCTAATGCATGTTCTTATTGTTTTTAAAAATAAAGAGCATCTAATGTTGTTACTCCCCTATATATATTATATGGAGTATGTTGCATCATCAGTGGCTTGAACCAGACTCTAGCGTTTAAAATTTTACATCATCCAATTATTCTATAACAGAATGATAATTAATTTTTGTTATCTTCCTATATCTAATGAATAATAATGATAACGGATTCAGTGAGAAATGCGTAGGAGTGGCAAGAAAAAAAGTGCCTAATAAGCGTGCTCCTCACGTGTCAAAAGAGAAAGACACGTGGTGCAGCATTTTAAAATCAGGCTAAATAACCTAAAACGAAGCTCACTCATGGCTCAGATCATTGTTTTCCCCAAATAACTGAAATCGTGACTAGAGATGGTACATTGCAAAAATAAAGTAGTTGCGCATGTAAATTATGAATTTTCTAGCGTAGAGCTTAGACTTAAGTCCCAAAGAGGCATGTGAGCTGTTAAGGTAGACAACACGTTATTAATTTATAGCCTTATCCATTTAATTATGACAACATGCAATAATTTGTGTTGTTTCATTTGTAAATTTTTCATTAGTTATAAAGTAAAGGAATGTTGAAAAATGGGATACTATATTTATATGTTTATACCCAAGCTATTTTCAGAATCGACCCAACAAAAAAAAATGATCTAATGTAAAAAAAAAGGGTACTCCCTTTTATGTTTATTATTTAGAAACTTTGAATAATATTATTTTAAAACATAATATTTCACAAATTCACATATATTTTTATGTATACTTGCGGTCCTATTTTTTTTTAAATGTTTGTAACCCTATATCTATTATTCTAGAATAAAAATATGGTCATGAAATTAATAAAATGTTGGAAAACAACCAGATGCTCAGACCCGGCCCAGAGGGTAGGCAGGTTAGGGCATGGCCTAGGGCCACCAATTTTTTTGTTAATTTATGGACCATATTTTTTAAACAAATGTTTGGGCCATATGAAAAAAAATATTTTGGGCTACAAATAAAAGATGTTTTGGACTAGAAATATAAAAAATATATTGGGTTTGTGAACTATTATATTTTTATAAATTAATATTATTAAAAAAATTTAAATAATAAAAATTTAAGAATTTATTTTGCCTTAGACCACATATTTTGTTGTACCGGCCCTGCAAATGCTAAACCATGGGTAATGGGTTAGCCCGTTGGTTTTCGGCCAAGCCTGACTATTTTCTTGCAAATAGAATTCTAGCATGTAATTCTCTTTGAGTGTGTTTGTTCGAGCTTTTGATTTCTGGAGGCTGGAGCCCATCCTTATTGGGGAGATTTTCACCAGTTTTATTTCTACGCT